ATATTTTTAAATAAACATATCACTTCTTTTCTCCCCAACCAGCCTTGTTTCTCTCTCTCTTCCTTTCATCCTGCCCTAACTGCTTCCAGGCTTAAGCCAAGCGCAGGACCCACACAAAGGCTCGGCCGAGAAGACGCGGACGCCATGCCCCTTTCACGCTGCTGTCTCCCAGCGACTGGCATTTCAGGCAGCTAGGAGTACGTACGTCATGCACATTTTGCCTGCCACCTCCTTCCAGCCAGGCCACCCTTCCACCAATCCTAACCGCCCTTCGCACCACAGCATCTAGGGCACCGGTACGGCGGTGCCATCAAAGCTGGGATCCATCAAGGAGCACATCCTCGCCCCGCAACCCCTTTTAGCCCACCACCGCGCACATCTGCATGCACGATCGTTGCTAGATTTGCCGAGCACCAGACAATATATTGATGGGCGACGCTACCTACAAGAGACGAGGACGAAAGCCTTCTGGGTGGGAAAACTCACTGCTAGGTTTTAGAGTCAACGGGGATTTATATATTTATATTTATATATATATATTTGGAAGCATTCGATGCATGACGAAGGATGATAGCTACCGTAACACACTTGCAGCTGAGCAGAGACAACCCCCCACCTTTACCGCAATCTCTGTAATATCCCAGCACCCCAAAGGCTCTTCCTTCAGGGGTGCACTGAACACCCACAAGCACTTTGGACTACAGTTCCCATCATTTCCCCAGGACAGCTCACTTTTCCCCAGCATCCAGATGCCCTAGATATCTATGTGGCTAGGGAAGATGGGAGCTGCGGTCTTAGACTTGGGGCAGCAGCAGCTGGGCTGGGGATGGTAGGATTCGTAGTCCAACACTTGTTACACTGGGGGCAAGCTGGGCACACGGGCTCTGGCTGGCCCCGTGTTGTGGCATGATGCGGGAGGAGGAGGATGGACACTGGAACCCAACCCATCTGAAGCAGAGCAACAGACAACAGGCTGTGGGCGCTGGAAGACGGTAGCCCACCCCTCCGAGTGGCAGCTTGCTGGAGCATCTTGCCTGTGGAGGAGAGGGAGGATGGGAGCTGTGGTCCATCCCGTCTCGGGTGGCCCGTTAGAAGCTGCAGGGGCAGCGGGTCAATGTGGGGGGGAGGATGGGAGCCGAAGTCCAAGGATCCGGGCCGGACGGGGAGGATGGGATTTGGAGCCCGAGCATCCAGGCCGGGAGGGGAGGCCGGGAGCGGGTACCTGTAGTAGCTGAGCAGCCCGTTGCTGAGCACGAACCAGCGGCGCTGGTAGCCCTTCAGGTAGTTGGTCCACTTGAAGAGCCAGCCCTTGTAGGTGTCGGAGCCCACGGCCACCGCCGAGCAGGAGGCGGCGGCGGCGGCGGACGGGCAGCTCTCGACGGCCAG